TTTTTTAAAGATTTTATTTATTTACTTGAGAGAGAGAGTGCTCAAGAGGGACAGGGAACATGAACAAGGGAAGGGCAGAGAGAGTAGCAGATTCCCTGCTGAGCAGGGAGCCCGACTGGGGCCAATACCAGGACCCCGGGATCATGACCAGAGTCAAAGGCAGACGCTTAACTGACTGAGCCACCCAGGGGTCCCTGGGATGAGAACTTTTTTTTTTTTTTAAGATTTAATTTATCAATTTAACAGAGAGAGAGAGAAAGCACAAGTAGGCAGTGCGGCAGGCAGAAGGAGAGGGAGAAGCAGGCTCCCCGCCAAGCAGGGAGCCTGAGGCAGGGCTCAATCCTAGGACCCTGGGATCATGACCTGAGCCAAAGGCAGCTGCTTAACCAACTGAGCCACCCAGGCGCCCCTGATGAGAACTTTTAACATGACAGTCAGGTTTTTAATTCCAAGATCTTAGCCATAAAAATGCTATGGCTAAGCACAGCATTCTCTGTGTGGGATTGAGTGCATGTCTACAAGTGTGAGCATGTGGCCCCTGTGTACCTGGAGTAATCCAGAAAGAGAACTTGTGGGGAGGCCTAGACGAAGAAGAGGGCATGGATTCTACAGAAGAAAGGAAAGAGAGGGAGGGAGGGAGGCTGATGTACCTGAATATAAAGAACCAGCCACAACACCTAAGATGGGGCTGGAGGGGTGAGATGGCCCTGGGAAGGCCTCCTGAGACAAGGAAGGACTTGGTATTTTTCTTGAGGGCTAAAAGAGGGAGGCATAGAGGGAGTAAAGTGGAATGTGACCTGAGCAGCTGCGGATTTTAGAAAGTTTGACTAGAAGCTTTGTGATAAATGAATTAGGAAAAGGCAAGAATGTGTTCAACTTTCTCCTCTTGAGTTTTTCCAGAATTCGCTGCCTCATTAACTGAGGGGATCAGGGTGGGTAGTCTGATCAGAGCTTGACACAAAGCATGAAATGACATTGACTAACAGCAATTAATTAGGTCTTTGTATGCCCACATATCAATCCTACCACTCATATTTTTCTGATTTTTGTGGCATGAAATTTCCTTTTTTATTTTTTTAAATTTATTTTTTTTAAAGCTTTTATTTATTTATTTGACAGAGAGAGACACAGCGAGAAAGGGAACACAACAAGCAGGGGGAGTGGGAGAGGAAGAAGCAGGCTTCCCACTGAGCAGGGAGCCCGATGCGGGGCTCGATCCCAGGACCCCTGGATCATGACCTGAGCTGAAGGCAGACGCTTAATGACTGAGCCACCCAGGTGCCCGGAAATTTCCTCTTTTAAATAAAGATTTTATTTATTTATTTGCGAGAGAGAGCATGAGTGGCGGGGAGGGGCAGAGGAAGAGGGAGACGCAGACACCCTGGTGGGCTCGGCTCGATCCCAGACTCCGGGATCATGACCTAAGCCAAAGGCAGATGCTTAACCAACTGAGCCACTCAGGCACCCCTGAAATTTGCTTTACAGAAAAAAAAATACAAGTCTTCGAAATGTTAACTATATACAAAATGGGCGAAGGACACTAAAATAGAGCAATAATATAGAAGTAGAATTAAATCTGTTATTCATTTGACATCCCAGTGGTGTGCCTACAGTTGCCCAGGTAACGTGATATGCAGTCAGAAATAAATACTGAGCAATGCAAACTCAATTTCATCTCTACTGGATCCTCCACTTGGGTGGAAGAGAACAGGGATTAGAAATGAATCAACATAAAATTGTAACTTTGATAAAAGCAGTGAAGCAAGAACAAATGTTTTTCACAAGGAAGGGTAATTGTTGATAGGAGAAAAAACAGTGAAGAGAAAGTTTCCTAAGGAATCTATCATTGGACTGACACAGTGGGCATAGTTGGAGGGTGGTGGGTGGGGTGGGTGCATTGTACAAATGCTTGTGTCTGATGTAGGAGGGGTTTCAACACAGGATGAGATCATTTGTATGGATTCCCATCTGTCTCTTCTATTTCATTCACTTGATTCTCAACTTTTTCTGATAGTTTGTTTTCTTACAATAACTGGGGGAACATATTTGTACCAGATCATTGCCTTCATTCGATTACATGTCCAATCACAATTTTAGACTCCACTTGCTATTTAAAATTGAAAATTTTTATTGAAGTGGAATGCACATACAGAAAATGAAAAAGTGATATTAGATAGCTAGGTGGATTTTTATAGAGAAACACTTCTGCATAACCACCTCCAAGATCAAGAGATGGAATATTGCCAGCTGAAACTGGGAGTATGACATCCCAGGAATTCTATTTCATTCTGGGATGGGGTTCTCCTATGGAGCCCTCCATATATGTACCTACCCCAGTATCTACTTTTGTTTCCAAAAGTAACCAACATCCTAAATAATACTGATAATATCTGTATGCCTTTGAAACATAAATGGGAATCAACAAAATGTATTTTTTGGTTTCTGCATTATTTCATTCAACATTATGATTTATGGTTATTCCGTGTTGCAGGAATCAGTTCATTCACTTTCATTACTATCAAATATGACTCAATGAGTTAATGATAATCTCTTCCACTTAATGTTGGACACTTGATTGTTTGCAAAATGAGAATATTATGCATTACGATGTTATAAACACTTATATGTTTCTTTGAGGTACATGAGTACATTTTTCTGTTGAATAAATGCCCTGGAGTAACACTGATGAGTCACCTCCCGAATACATAAATACAGATTCAGTAATTACCAGTCAAAACATTTCCACAGTGAGTACTCACCAGTAGTGACTGAGAGTTCTAGGTGTTCCAATCCATGCTGACAGTCTCTTTGATTTTAGTCATTCTGGCAGGTATTTCATAGCATGTTATGGTAGTTTTATTATATCTGCTTTTGACAAGTACTTTTGATCATTTTTCTAGAAATCAATATTCTGTTTCATTGATTTGAAAGAGTTTTTGCAAACTCATTCTGTGTTTTGGATATGTCTTGAAAATATCTTCTCTACTCTGCTGCATTTTTTAAATCAATAAATGACTTTACTTGATGAGCACTACTTCTCATTTTTATGTAGTTCAGTATGTCAGTCTTTTCCTTGGAAAAGGAAATTCCTGCTTATTTCTTTCTTATTGTATAAGAGATATCTTTTTCTACTACAAGTTCTTAAATATATTCTTCCAGGTGGTCTTCTGGGAGCTTTATTTTACATTTCTGAGATTTTTAAAACCCATCTAGAACTAATTTTTGTAAATGGGGTAGGATGGGGATCAGGATGAATTTTCCCCTTTATGAATATTCAGTTGACCAAGCACCATTTATTGAAAGGAAAAAAATAAGCTTTCCTGTCAGCACATGCACTTCAGTGTCATGTTTTATAGAAAACAAGTGACAATATAGAAAACAATCTATATCAGGATAACATTCTGTTCTGTTGCCTTATTTGTCTATCCTTGTGCCATGATCACAGTCTTAATGAATATAGTTTCATAATCAGTTTTGTTTTGTGGTTATATAAATCCTGAAATATTATTATTCTTCAGAATTTTCTTGGCTATTCTTTTTTTTCTAATTTATTTTTTATTTTTATTTTATTTTATTTATTTTTTATTATGTTCAGTTAGTCTTGGCTATTCTTAGCCTGTTTATATCTGTGTAATTTTAGAATCAGCTGTCAATGTTCACACACACACACACACAAAGCACTTGCTGGATTTCCAATGGCATAGCATTGAGTTTATACAGCAACTTGGGGATAATTGATATTTTCCAATTGGAATTGAGTTTTGCAATCCACAAACATGGCTATCCTTTATACATATAATATTTATAATATTGTGTATTTCTGTAGAGGGCTTGCACATTTTCATTGGATTTTTCTTAGATATTTGATGTTTAACGGCAATATATACAGTTGAGTATTTTTTAAATTTAATTTTCAGCTGCTAGTGTCATAATTCAATCCAATTGATTTTGGATCAGACATCTTGCAAAAATTCACCTTGTCTAATATTTGTAGAATGTTTGATACTTTCTTGGAAACAAAATCAGGACATGTATAAATAATGATATTTGATATATTTTCTTGCCTTTTTTACTGATTAAAGAGTAGTCCAATGTTGCATAGAATTAGCAGTGGCCGTCCATCTCTCAATTTTAAGGAGAAAACATTTAAGGATAAGTTTTGCTGTATTTTGTATACTCTATGACATCAAGGAAGTTCTCATTATCCCTAGTTTACTAAATGTCTTTCGGTAATGAGTACTGACTTTCATTAAACACTTTTAATGTACCCGAGGAGATGATTATATTGTGTTTTTCTAAACTCTATTCATGTGGTAACTGACTTTTAAATTTTAACCTAACTTTTCATTTTGAAAGTAAACCCCAATTGGGGCACCTGGGTGGCTCAGTTGACTAAGCATCTGCCTTCCACTCAGGTCCTGGGATCAAGCCCCTCAGTGGGCTCCCTGCTCAGCGGGGAGCCTGCTTCTCCCTCTCCCTCTGCTGCTCCCCGTGCTTGTGCTCTCTCTCTCTCAAATATATAAATTAAAAAAAAATCTTTTTTAAAGAAGGTAAACCCCACTTGTTTTGTGATTTATTATTCTCTATATACGTCACTGGATTTGATTTGCAAATGTTTTGCTTTCCATTTCTACACCTACCATTTGTGAAAGACCCTGACCTATAGTGTACCTTTCTTTAATGTACTTGTAAACTTTTCTTATCAGGGAGTTGCTGAACTCATTTACTAAAAGGGGAGTGTTCCCACTTTTTACGCTCTGGGAGAGTTTGTGTAAGATTAGCATTCTTTCTTTCTTAAAAGTCTAGTAGAATTAATCCATGAACTTATCTGATACTGAATTTTTAAAAATTATGCCAGTGCTGTAATTAATTATATATCTCTTCTATTTCTAGCTTGCACTCTTTAGGTATCTATGAGCCGGTGAAACAGATCTCCGGAGAAACAAATCAGTAGGAATTGAATATCTAAAGTTGAATCTCTCTGAGAAGTCCTGTTAAGAATGGCTTTAGATCTCAGAATCTCATTTCAGGGAGAACCATCTAGGAATGATCCTGGGTCAGAAAACCTAGAGCATAAACCCAGTCAAGGACCAGCCATTCAGGAGGAAGAGGAGATCTATGAGTTCCCGAACACTCAGCTCAGTTTATTACAAAACAGTAATAACTCATGTGCAAGGCAGGAACTGCAAAATCTCTATAAGTTATTTTACTCATGGCTGCAGCCAGAAAAACACAGCAAGGATGAAATTATTTCTCGTTTGGTCCTGGAACAGTTTATGATCAATGGCCACTGCAGTGACAGGTCCATGTTGAAAGAGAAATGGAATGCAAGTGGCAGAAACCTGGAGAAATTCATGGAAGATCTGACTGACGACGGCATGAAGCCACCTGGATTAGTGAGTAGAGGGTCTTAACTCCTGGGGTGAGGGTCAGAGGTGTGTAAGGATTAATTACAGCCTGTTGGAATTGCCTGGAAGTAGAGAAAGAAGGGTTATTGTAGACCCACTTATTAGTTCTCACCAAAGAGACTCTTTACCATGCTAAGTAAGCAAAATGAAAGCAGATGTTTTATAGGCATCTATTCAGTAGGACATATAAGAGCCAACATATTAAGTGATTTTCACCAGTGAGATGGTAGGAGGGCTCACTAAGAAATTGACAATAGATGGGCGCCTGGGTGGCTCAGTTGGTTAAGCGACTGCCTTCGGCTCAGGTCATGATCCTGGAGTCCCGGGATCGAGTCCCGCATCGGGCTCCCTGCTCGGCAGGGAGCCTGCTTCTCCCTCTGACCCTCCCCCCTCTGATGTGCTCTTTCTCTCTCATTCTCTCTGTCTCAAATAAATAAATAAAATCTTAAAAAAAAAAAAAGAAATTGACAATAGAGCAGAAACCTCAAGAATGGGGAGAAATGACTTCACACAACCTCATTCTTCCCTCAGAACACCCTAGTATTAGTCTTTTCTCATTGAAAATGACACACTAATTAGAAATTACCATGAATTTTTAAGGCCAGCAGGGATAAGGGCAGAATAGTGGGTGTGACAGCATGTAGTAGAGGGATCTTGGGAAAGCCTCATGAAAGCAGGTCTTCCACAAAGGCTTCTGGCACTCAACAGATCCATATACAATAGTGATCAGGCTTTGTTTACAGGTTCACGTCCACATGCAGGGGCAGGAAGCCCTCTTTTCTGAGAATATGCCCTTAAGAGAAGTCATTGTTCACTTCATGAAACAGTTGCCAGCAAGGACCCCAACAGAAGAGAACATGGGGACACCCTCCTGGATTCCCCAAGAAACTTCCCTGGAAACAGGACAAGGTGAGTGGGGTAAGCCAAGGTACTAGAGGGATGTTGTGTGTGGACTCATTCTTGGGTACAACTTCACTGAGTCACTTTATCCCCACACAGGAGATAAAGATAAAAAAAATGGAGACTATATTTATCACATGAATGACAGTATTACTAGTGAAGGCAATGAAATACCTTCCCTGCTCATTATCCAGGAAGAGGACTGTCCTAGGCTTGAAGAGGACAGTGTTTCTTTGAAGAATCTGCTCAGCTCTGGAAGAGCAGGTCTAGGCACATCCAGGTCCAAGGAAGGGTCCCTGAAGGGACCCTTATATCAAGATGTCCTTATAGAGGGGGGACCAGGGTTTCTCTCTCAGTCAATCCAGGTCATCCCTGAGCCTGTTCCTACCCACCAGAGAACTGAGGGGAGCTCCACATGTGGGGGACACCAAGGAAGATGCCATGAAGCCCACAACTCATACAGATGTGAAAAGTGTCCCAAGATCTTTAGGTATTTCTCTCAGCTAAAAGCCCATCAGAGAAGACACGATAACGAGAGGACATTTACTTGTGCTGAGTGTAACAAAGGCTTCTTCCAAGCATCAGACCTACACGTGCATCAGAAGATTCATGCAGAAGAGAAGCCTTTCACGTGCAGCACGTGTGAAAAATCCTTCAGCCACAAAACCAACCTTCTGGCACATGAGAGAATCCACACAGGAGAGAAGCCCTATGAATGTTCCCTCTGCCATAGAAGGTACCGCCAGTCGTCCACCTACCACCGCCACCTGAGAACTCACCAGAAAATTGCCTTCAGAGGTATTCCCTCCACACCAGAAGCTTCCTTGGGTGCAGCCCCAATGGAATGATACATAAATATGTATGCAAATATGTATATTTCTATAGTACTTCCCTATTTAGAACATATACTTTCCTGATTATATTTTCCATCTATTGTCTTCGCTAAAATATAAGTTTAAGGAGAAATTTCTTAGTTTGTTCACTAGAGTATCTCAGGTACTGATATTTGGTTGACAAATTTCAAATAACCAATAAATAATCTGCTCAATAAATGGATGAATGTGTAATGTTGGTGTTTATTCTTTAAAATCCAGGAATGTCCAACTCCAGGACACAAACACCAGCTTCCAGTGGTCAAGTGATGCTTTCCCTCCTGCTCCCCTGTCCTCTGTCCACACAGTTTATCTTTACTGGGCCACATGCACCTAAAAAGGTGGAGAGCAGAGGCAGAAACCCAGAAATAGGCCTTAGCCTATAAAAGGGAACCTTTATATTCAAATGATATATTTCTGTAATTCACTGGAAATATTAATAGCTAAACTGGACCTGATATGATTGGTGACTGAAAGTTTCAGAATGCTATTTTATTGACAAATAAATACCAAAAAAGGGCAAATGCTTTCCATTCATTTCTTCCAGAGATGGCAGGTATTGGGGGATGAGGAGCTTATTTGCAGAACTAGTTTGAAAGGGCAGTTTGGAGGAAATGAAAATATTCTGTGCACAGCAGAGGCAAAAAGCACTTACGCTGGTTACTTGGAATACATTTGTGAGCTAGTTTCCACTAGGAAATTAGGGCTCACTTACACTGAGAAACTAGAAGGTACCATGTGGAAATGGCTTGAATCATGGAAGGGGGTATTCTGTGGGGTAAATTATGACATTTCTCTCACTGCATCCATAATACAGAGGATAATGGGGCTGCAGATAATGCTCCACTGTATGGAGAAGCCCATTTATCTGTCCTCTTTCCTGAGCTGTCTCCAGGTGTTTGCTATTGTGAATATCCTTGCACATACCTCTTGGTACAAAGGAAAGCTTTTGTTTGGAAAGATCTCTGTGAGGTGAGTTGTGAAATAATAGAAAACATATGTTGGTCTCTGTCCCTAGTTCCAGGCACAGAGCTGCTAAAACCCTTGTAATTTCTTAAGTGATGAGAGCACTAGAAACATCTTTTGTTCTAATACTTGGTCTTTGACCCTGGTTCCTGATACAGAACCCCTAAGTCATTTGGAATTTTCTGGGTGATAGGAATGTCTTTCATTTCAGTGAGACAACTCCTGGATAGCTTCAGGATGGGGACTGGTCACCAGAAAGACCAAATCATGAGTAGAACCTTGAAACTTTCAGCCCCATCCTCCACGAGTTGGAGAGGAGATAGAGATCGAGTTAATGATCAGTCATACCACACAGAGTTTAGAGAACTTGGTGAACACCCACATTCCAGGCTGTCCATGGGGACAGAAACTCCTGCGCTGGGGACCCTTCCAGACCTCACCATAGCCTGGCAACACAAATGCACAAATACAGAGACTCATGAGACAGGGATGTCATAGGGACACCCAAACAACACACAGAACTGCACAGTCCCCAAGGACCAAGTGTGATGAGGGGGATGGGTGTTGGGTGCACACCTTGGTACAGCCTGGAGGCTCACACAGGTTTGAAGACTGGCACATGGTGGGGGGAAACCAGCTGGAACCTAGAAGTCTTTACACAGAAATACTTGCCCCTAGGGCCGAGAAGCCTTGGTCTGGTTAGGAGAGGAAGGTGGGAGGTTTATGGGCTTTATAGGAGGGATGGGAAATTTCTAGCAGGTTAGTAGCCATTGTTTGAACAATTTGCAATTTACTAACAATGGTGAGGAAGAGCTGTAAGCACTAAGGTCTCCTGCAAGAGCTGCGGGCAGGGATATGTGAGGGTCTCAGTGGCTACTCTCAGTCTTTCAGGGCCTCACACCATAATAGTGATGGTGATAACTGGGTGACAGCTCAGTATGGGGGCACAGAGTGGAGGGGTCACCCAGAAGCCATATTTAGGCTTCCTCCCTCCTTGGGGAGGAATTGTTGGCAATGGTGGTAAGGGGACAGGATGGTCTATGGTGACACTGATGATGTGGAGAGCCTCACATGGAGATGTCGGGGTGGGGTTACTTGGTCCCAGGCTCCATGGACAGTCTGGCAGGTGAGGTGTCTGGGCGTCCTGGTCCGAGTCCTGGGCAATTCCCGCTGGAGAAGAACAGAAGGGAACAAGGTGAGTAGGTCCAGCACAGTGTAGCCTAACCATTCCCAGCTCAGCTGCATAACAGCTGTGCAGCCTTGTGGAAGTCCCTTGCCCTCTCTGAGAGATAGAACTCTCCTTTGAAAAGTGGAATAACAGTCCCTCCACACAGTATGGTTTTCGGGCTGTTAAATGAGATAATCCTCAAGAGAGCCTATCAGCACTAGGTTCCCCTGAAAATATGAGTGGGGGGCCCTCAGCAAAGTGGAAGGGGGCATGTGACTTCAGAGTGCCCCAGAGGGGCTGATAAGGGCCCATGGCCAGAGGCAATTCCAGCGAGGGGCCTTCTGTGAACCCCAGAAACATGGTGGGGGTTTCCTAAGACCCCGGCCTACTGGGGGTTCTGGAGGCAAGCACCCAGGACACCTCCTGCTGGCTGTTATCATTTTTCTTGCAGAGCAAAGCACCAGCCAAAGAGCAGTCTCAGACCTGTTCAAACTAGTATGAGACGTGATGGATGCCAAATTCGACCTTTCACCAACTTTCCCCCTCCTTACAATGCTAAAAATCACTCCCAGAGGTGGAGACTTAACACGCAAATGAAACAGAATGTATGAAGAAGCATGTTCTGTCAACTGCGCCTGTGCTCCCAAATCCCTGTATTTCCCCACCCCACATGCTTACACATCACTCCTTTCCCACCTCAGGTTCTTTAAAACTTTCACTGGGCTATTGTTCTGGGAGCCAGTCTGACACCTTTTTTGTGGCTGTATCTCCCTTCAGCTGCAGCTGGTGCCCCAATAAAGCCTTGACTGCCTTTAAATTGTGGGTCCAGCCTCATTTCTACTGTCGTTGGGTCCAAGGACCCAAGTCTGGTAACATCATTATGAATGATGATGATGAATGATGAATGAATCAAATAAACTATTTGATGATGAATAATGAATGAATCAAATAAACTATTAATTTCCACACCACATCTACTGATTTCTCTGTCTTTATTTCAATTCATTCTATGTTTCATTTCTAACTTAGTCCTACACTTTCCCTTTCCCCTTTTATTTTGCTTCACTGCTCCAGTCTATTATATATTTCATTCCACTCATGATTTCTTAAATGTCTCATTTCAATCCTAAATGGGTTTATAAAATATTAAACAAAATCATTTGTGTACACATTTAAGGTTTTTGATCTGTTAAATAACAAAATTCAACTGAGTAAGTTTTAAAGATCTTACTGGCTTTATTCAACAATTCATGAATCAGACAGCAGCCGATCAAGTAAATAGAAAGGAGCTCCAAAGAGCTGTACAAAATGGAAAACTTTATAGGCAGAAGGTGTGGGACAAGGAAGTTACTAGCAGATAGATAGATTTTGGATACTAGCTCCTCATCTGATAAGATATTTGCAAATATCTTCTCCCATTCTGTCGGTTATCTTTTGGTTTTGTCAACTATTTCCTTTGCCGTGCAAAAGCTTTTTATCTTGACCAAGTCCCAATAGTTCATTTTTGCCTTTGGTTCCCTTGCCTTTGGAGATGTGTCTAGCAAGAAGTTGCTGCGGCCGAGGTCACAGAGGTGCCTCTAGGCAAATCCTCTAGGATTTTGATGGATTCCTGTCTCACATTTAGGTGTTTCATCCATTTTTAGTCTATTTTTGGGGTATGGTGTGAGGAAATGGTCCAGTTTCATTCTTCTGCATGTGGCTGTCCAATTTTCCCAACACCATTTGTTGAAGAGACTGTCTTTTTTTTTTTTTTTTAAGATTTTATTTATTCATTTGAGACACAGAGATACAGAGAGAGAGAGAGAGAAAGCATGAGCAGAGAGAGAGGCAGAAGCAGTCTCCTCACTGAGCCAGGAGCCCGATATGGGGCTCGATCCCAGGACCCTGGGATCAGGACCTGAGCCGAAGGCAGACGCTTAACCATCTGAGCCACCCAGGCGCCCCGAAGAGACTGTCTTTTTTCCATTGGATGTTCTTTCCTGCTTTGTCGAAGATTAGTTGACCCTAGAGTTGAGGGTCCATTTCTGGGTTCTCTGTTCTGTTCCATTGATCTGTCTGTCTGTTTTTGTGCCAGTACCATACTGTCTTAATGATGACAGCTTTGTAATAGAGCTTGAAGTCCAGAATTGTGATGCCACCCACTTTGGTTTTCTTTTTCAACATTCCTTTGGCTATCTGTGATCTTTTCTGGTTCCATACGAATTTTAGGATGATTTGTTCCATCTCTGTGGAAAAAGCTGATGGTGTTTTGATAGGATTGCACTGAATGTATAGATTGCTCTAGGTAGCATAGACATTTTAGCAATATTTGTTCTTCCAATCCATGAGCATGGAATGTTTTTCCATTTCTTTGTGTCTTCCTCAGTTTCCTTCATGAGTGTTCTATAGTTTTCTGAGTACAGATCCTTTGCTGCTTTGGTTAGATTCATTCCTAGGTATCTTACGGTTTGGGGTGCAATTGTAAATGGGATCGACTCCTTAATTTCTCTTTCTTCTGTCTCATTGTTAGTGTATGGAAATGCAACTGATTTCTGTGCATTGATTTTATAGCCTGCCACTTTGCTGGATTCCTGTATGAGTTCTAGCAAATTTGGGGCTGGAGTCTTTTGGGTTTTTCCACATAGAGTATCATGTCATCTGCAAAGAGTGAGAGTTTGACTTCTTCTTTGCCTATTTGGATGCCTTTTATTTCTTTTTGTTGTCTGATTGCTGAGGCTAGGACTTCTAGTACTATGTTGAACATCAGTGGTGAGAGTGGATATCCCTGCCGTGTTCCTGACCTTAGGAACCTCAGGAAAAACCGAGAGCTTTTCCCCATTGAGAATGATGTTCACTGTGGGCTTTTCGTATATGGCTTTTATGATATTGAGGTATGTTCCCTCTATCCCTACACTGCGAAGAGTTTTAATCAAGAAAGGGTGCTTGCTGTACTTTGTCAAATGCTTTTTCTGCATCTATTGAGAGGACCATATGGTTCTCGTCCTTTCTTTTATTAATGTAGTGTATCACATTGATTGATTTGCAGATGTCGAACCACCCTTGCAGCCCAGGAATAAATCCCACTTGGTCGTGGTGAATAACCCTTTTAATGTACTGTTGAATCCTATTGGCTAGTATTTTGGTGAGAATTTTTGCATCCATGTTCATCAGGGATATTGATCTGTAATTCTCCTTTTTGGTGGAGTCTTTGTCTGGTTTAGGGATCAAGGGAATGCTGGCCTCGTAGAAAGAGTTTGGAAGTTTTCCTTCCATTTCTGTGTTTTTTTTGTTTTGTTTTGTTTGAAGTAGCTTCACAAGAATAGGTATTAATTTTTCTTTAAATGTTTGGTAGAATTCCCTTGGGAAGCCATCCAGCCCTGGACTCTTGTTTGTTGGGAGATTTTTTATTATACTGCTTCAATTTCCTTGCTCGTTATGGGTCTGTTAAGGTTTCTATTTCTTCCAGTTTGAGTCTTGGTAGTTTATACACCTCTAGGAATGCATCATTCCTTCCAGATTGCCTAATTTGTTGGCATACAGTTGCTCATAATATGTTTTTTATAATTGTTTGTATTTCTTTGGTGTTGTTTGTGATCTCTCCTCTTCTTGCTGAGCAGGGAGTCCGATGCGGGACTCGATCCTGGGACTTCAGGATCATGACCTGAGCAGAAGGCAGTCGCTTAACCAACTGAGCCACCCAGGTGCTCCCTTTCTTGTTTCTTGAGAAAGGCTTGTATTGCTACATATTTCTCTCTTAGAACTGCCTTTGCTGCATCCCAAAGGTTTTGAACAGTTGTGCTTTCATTTTCATTTGTTTCCATGAATTTTTTTAATTCTTCTATAATTTCCTGGTTGACCCATTCATTCTTTAGTAGGATGCTCTTCAGCCTCCATGTATTTGAGTTCTTTCCAAATTTCCTCTTCTGGTTGAGTTCAAGTTTCAAAGCATTGTGGTCTGAAACTATGCAGGGAGTGATCCCAATCTTTTGGTACTAGTGGAAACCTGATTTGTGACCCAGTATGTGATCTATTCTGGAGAATGTTCCGTGTGCACTAGAGAAGAATGTGTATTCTGTTGCTTTAGGATAGAATGCTCTGAATATATCTGTGAAGTCCATCTGTCCCAGTGTGTCATTCAAAGACCTTGTTTCTTCATTGATCTTCTTCTTAGATGACCTGTCCATTGCAGTGAGTGGGGTGTTAGAGTCCTCTACTATTACTGTATTATTATCAATGTGTTTCTTTAATTTTGTTATTAATTGGCATATAATTGGCTGCTCCCATGTTAGGGGCATGGGTATTTAAAATTGTTAGATCTTCTTGTTGGATAGACCCTCTAAGTATGATATAGTGTCCTTCTTCATCTCTTATTATAGTCTTTGGTTTAAAATCTAATTTGTCTGATATAAAGATTGCCACCCCAGCTTTCTTTTGATGTCATTAGCATGATAACTGGTTTTCCACCCCCTCACTTTCAATCTGCAGGTGTCTTTGGGTCTAAAATGAGTCTCTTGCAGACAGCAAATTGATTGGTCTATCCAATCTGATACGCTGTGTCTTTTGTTTGGGGCATTTAGCCCATTTACATTCAGACTAACTATTGAAAGATATGAATTTAGTGCCATTGTATTACCTGTAAAGTTACTATTACTGTATATTCTCTCTGTTCCTTTCTGACCTATGTTACTTTGGGCTCTCTCTTTGCTTAAAGGATTCTCTTTAGTATTTCTTGCAGGGCTGGTTTGGTGATCACAAATTCTTTCAGTTTGTTTGTCCTGGAAGCTTTTTATCTCTCCTATTTTGAATGACAGTCTAGCTGGATACGGTATTCTTGGCTGCATACTTTTCTCATTTAGTACCCTGAATATATTATGCCTTTCTGGCCTGCCAGTCTCTGCGGATAGGTCTGCTGCCAGTCTAATGTTTCTACTCTTGTAGGTTACAGACCTCTTGTCCCAGGCTTCTTTGAAGATTTTCTCTTTGTCTGAGATTTGCAAGTTTCACTATTATATGTCAAGGTGTT